GGGGTCCCGTTGGCCGGCGCGTGTCGCGTTAACTCTCCTTCTTCTTTTCTTGCAGACGAGCTCACAGTGCCTGCGCTTTATCCCAGTAGTCCTGAAGTTTGGGGGCCGTACCCTCTGTACCCAGCGGAGTTAGCACCTGCTCTACCTCCTCCTGCTTTCACCTATCCCGCTTCGCTGCACGCCCAGGTAATTCGGACCCATCCGCCACCACTGCGCTCACCCACCCCGGAACCCCCCTTCCCATCCTTCCCGTCGGTGCTTTGCTGCACCACTAACCTCTGCCCGGCTAACAGGCACCCTCTGCCCCAACATTTCGGGATGGCACCCCAAGCGAGCCGAGAGCCCCGACACCTCTCTCCGCCTTCCCACCTTTGCTCTCGCCAAGCGGGGAGGGAGGGATGGGAGCGGGGGATGCTCCTGGTACCGGTCTGCCGGCTCTCCGAAACGCCCAGCTGCCCCGCAAGCATTCCTGGGATGCGGCTTGCCGGACGCAGGGGGTGAAGCGACGCGACTGTGGCAGGGAGGAGAGGGCAAGCGGAGCACCAACGGAGGATCCATCTTTTATTGGCGAGGCGCTCTTGTCATGAAGAGCTTTTCTGCTGGCGTCTGCGGCCTTAAAAATTAACCAGCTGTTAAAAATTAACCACCTGCCCGGGGAGATGAGCCGGGGAAAAAGAAGAGAAAAAGTGGAAACAGAGGTGGCGGAGGATTTCTTTGTGGTGCCAGCCTTTGGGATGCTTCCCGGAGCGGTGTCGCGGGGACACCAGGAAGAAACCCCCAGTGTGGGGTGGGAAGAGGCAGCTGCCTCCCCAGCAGCCGTGCTGGATGTCATCCCAGCTTTTGCTCCTTGCTGCTGGCTCCGGCGTCGTGGCGAGCAGGAGGAAACGAGCGCATGGAAACAAGATTTGCCGGATAAGCCGCATCCAACAGGTTTTTCTGGCCCTGGCCCACCGGGATCAAGCTGGGTTATCCAGAACCACCATCACTGGGAGATGGTGGCAGCTGGGGACTGGTTGGAGAGGGAGTAC